AATTCTCAGGTCAAATTTGCACTGTCTATGTACAGATAGAGAGCTGATACAGAGTTTTAACATCTATGAAGGTATTGGAAAAAGCAGAATGTTTTATTTTCATATATGATGATATTCTGCCAGAGTCAAGAAATACCACTGTCAAAACTGAAAATTCTGTCAAACACTTTGATCTAAGCAAGCATTCCAACACCTCCCAAAAGGAGGGTGGGGTAAGGGGAATTCCCTTTTTTCAACAGCTTGTTACTTAACCCAAGAACAAGTTCACAACCTAACTATTATTTCCTCCTCCTTCTCTCACTCATAAACATGCAAATATAACTCATCCATCCCATGCATGCACCAGAGCAACGAAAGCTCCTTAAAAATTCTTCTCAAATTCCATTTCATATACTCCAATGGCATAAATAAGGTAGAGGCTAGAGCCTTCATTTTCTTTTACTGCAAGACTAATGCTGAGAATACCCTTTTTTTTTTTTTTTTTTTTTTTTAAGAGACACACGTTCACCATAACTCTTAATCTTCCAGCTCCTCTCTAAAGAGCTCCTGTTTTGAAATTGGGTTATCCTCTGTGAATCCCATGCCACTCTAGCTTTTGTTACACGTAGGTGAACCTACACACATAGAAATTTCTCCAAGCAGTGCAGCTAATTTTCCAGTTTCCTAACCAAATCATTTTATCAACTATTTCTAGACAGCAGTGGCAAAGCCCTTTAAATCAAATGATTAGTGTTTTGTAAACTGAGTTTGTACTCAAAATAAATTTTTCATAATAAAATAATTAAGTCATCAACTACCTGAAGAATTTTTAAAGCATTTGTTGTAACAGCAAGACACAGATAAATTCTCTACTTAATCTTAACAATTCATATCATTAATATACTTCAGCTGAAAATGGCATTGGTTTTATATAGTTTTATTATTAGCTTACTATTAGTTGTGGGCTTTAAAACAGTACACTGACAAAGGATGCAATTAATAGACATTTTGGTTTTGCTCTCTAGATGAAAACAACCATACAACTAAAGATGCAGTTAAGCCAGAGGGAACTGACACATCTCGCAGCCTTCTCCTTAGCTGTTGGGAAAGACTAACACGTGTATTATAAGGCTCCTATAGGCCGAACTATTAATATCATTTGTTATTAATATCGTCCAACACTTGCCAGGTAAAAATTCTTCTTTCTGCAACAGCTAACTGGTTCAGACTTAAAAGAGACTTATTTAGAACCTTCTGCAATTCCTTTTTGGCAGAACTTACAGAGGGCACTGACACATACCTAGGGCGGACTGCTGGAGGGAAAAGAAGGAAGAGGTGGCCAATCCAGCAAGTAGATTTAGTAGAAAAGACCATGAGCTAAGACCTAAGATGGGGCAAGACTTACTTTCCACACTCCCTGCACTTATTTCATGCTTTTCTGCCTGTAGGAAGGAATAACAGAGACCGCTGTGGCACAAAAACACTCCCTGTCAGCCCCATCAGGAACTCCAAGCCCAGGCCACACTGGCACCATGGCAGCAAGGCAGAACAGGGTCTTCCATTTTGCAGCCACCATGGCAGCTTCAGGCCAGCATGGATAAACTACCAGCTCACTTTTGCCGTCCTGGTTCAAGTTGAATCACAAGCCCAAAACACCCAGTTTGGTAATCTCAGGTGAGCTCTACTTTGCACAGCTATTTCTATCAGGCACGTGGCACGGTCAATAATCTCAGGTTATTCAGCCATGGTGGCATTAACAGAACAAAGAAACATGGAGGCTTATTGAATTGGGGTTTTGTTTTTTTCTGCCTTTAGCCAGACAGTATATCAATGATGTGTGAAAGCAAGATGAACGTGTTCTGTTCACAGCGCATCTTCATTTAAAAACTGGCACCCACAGAAGCCTGGCAAACAAAATTACTTTGTAGATGGCTGAACAGGCTTTGCCATGACAAGGTTAAGATAATTGAGGGCACAGGAATTATTTTTCCAGTGACTGAGAACATGTGCTGCTGTTTGTGTGGAACCACCCTCCTGAACTAATTAATGAAGTTATTTTTTTTCTTCCTCTTTGAACTCTTTTAAGACACTGAATTCACTTTTTTATATCATGCTCAGGTAAATCAAAGAGCATTTCATGAAAGCCAGTCACAGGTACGCATGAAAAGCAAGACCCTCAAAGGCCTCTTACTATTTCCTCATTTTCTGGACATCACTTGTGTTTTAAAGAAGCAACAATTAACTGACAGGGCTCACGTTGTTGGACAAGAAAGAAGAGTAAAAAAAAAAAAAAAAAAGCCAAAAAAACCCCAACCAAGCTGAAATACTTGCACTAAAAATATATGTGAGGTTTGGGGTTTTTCTGGAAGAATGGCCTGACCTATGGTAGCACCCTCACCTCAAAAGAAAATGCACTACAATCATCCCAGGAGTAATAGCAGCACTGAAACAGACCTGATAATGAAGGGGCAGGTTTAGGGATAGTATTCCCTCCTGACACTCATAAATTAAGACATATGCTTCAAAACTTAATCTCTGGGCTGCTGGCCTAAAAAGGAAAAAAAATAAAAATCAGTATCTAAAGTAAGTTATTCACAAGAATTAGAACAGAATTGCTTACAAAGCATTCTTAGATTTAATCATCTCTTACACCTTGTACCTTTGTTAGCAGCACTTAGAAAAGCATCACAAAAAAAAAATTTATACATTCTAAAATTGTCACTCATAACTGAGTAGTATTCACTCCATTTCATTACCTCAAAGAGGTATATTCTTATCATGGCTTTTCAATAGAGTTTCCTGGAAGCAAAATTGTTTTATCTGGTAGAACTGAGACCCTTTTCCTTCACAACTGACCTTTGTTCTGGAGAGAAGAATGAAGACTTGTCTTACTCAAAGTGTCAACTGACAATTTAAAGTAACAAAAGCTTTGAAAGAAATTGTCCTTGGTAAAACCATTCGCATAACGATGAGCAATTCCTCCAAACAGGTTCTCACAATGACAAGTTTCCTAGCCAGAGATGAAGATTTTTCTCAGTATATGATGCCCTGTGTGAAGGGCTAAAATAATCGCACACCATTTAAAACCCTTTGCTTGTGCAGAGCATAGCATCGCCACTGTTACACAGAGTGCACCTACTGTGGTGGCAGCCTGATTCTGCTAATGGTTCAAGCTGCACCCACTGAACTATATGCTACTGATTTCAGGAAAATAAACAAACCAACCTCTTAAATACAGTCAAAATTTTGGACTAATAAGGCACTCTGCCTCCACATATATGAAAAAAAAAGAGACCTTCCAAGCTTTGAATAGATTTACAAAAGTACAAGTACCACAAAGAAAGCAAAGAGGATTTCCATTTTTACAGGCTACAGGTTGCAGGAGCAAAATTTCCTTCATCTTAAGGAATTTTTACTGTATCTTTGGCAACATGAAAGAGAAAAAAAAAAGAGTGTTCTACTAAGAAACCACTCCAGCAACATAAATCAAGTGATGAAGAAGGGAATGTCTCAAGTTCCTTGATTTGGTTGGGAGGGGAAGAAGGGTGAGATCCATTTAGAAATTACTTTTGTAAGTCATTAAAGGATGAGACGTTCTAAAACATTCAGTTAAGAACACACTTACTCAACTAATTTAAAAAAATCCATAGCAACCTTTACAATTTCAGATTCATGGTACAACGTGCATATTAATTTTAGCATTATCTTTTCAGATTATTGCACATTTTACTGTTGCCATTTAAAGGATTCTAATAGAATAACACCATTGGCAGCTTAACCTTTATTAAACTGTTGATACAAGATGATTCTTTTAGCATAAAGTGAGATGAAGACATTACAAAAATTATATAGTTATTAACAGATTACAGATAAACTATTTAAAAGAACACTGTCTTTATAATATTGGTCTTTTCTTTACAATTAGAGACCAGAAAAATGAGGAGTTTGTCATAATATTTTACTACATTAGCATTTAAAAAATACCCGAGGCACTTTTCAGAGATTATTAAAAGCTATGAACAGTTAGCTCACTCAGAAATAAATCTGAAGAATAAGCCTACAGTATCGACTGTTGCTTATGATAGTATTGCTACTATTTGCTTTTAAAGTCCAGGTACCCAGAGGCTTAAACAGTTTGTAAAACACTGAAGTCAGCTCCAAGCTTTCTGTCTGTCTATAGTAAACAATTACACTTCTCTCATATTTTTCGCATATAAAAGATTGCTTAAAAATGAATCAAGCCTCACAACATAACCCCAAGGTAGGAAGTGCCATTACCATTTATACAGAGTAGAAAGATTGTGGCTTGCTGAAAGGAGCACGAGGTGCACAACTCCACAGGCTCAGTCAGCACATTTCATGTTCTGTCATAATACAGCATCTCTGATATTGGTCTAGCACACTGTATTATTTTTGTATTTCTAACCATAGTCATAACCAAAAAGTAAGTCCTGATATTGTTCAGAGAGAACAATGTATGCTTCAAATCACAAGCCCTAAACATGGAGCAGACAGATTTTAAACAAAGAGATCTGCTGTAATGCACTTGTTCTTCATCACTCAGTGCAAAACCTTTGCTGACTTAGCAGAAAAATCACATCATATTTCTGCACCTGGACTTGCCAAAATGCATGAAAATAACAGAAGTAGATTTCTGTTCTACATAGATCCAGAGCCAACAGGATATAAATTCTTGCCTCTGATTTCAAAGCTTTCCTGAGGACAGGAGACCTTTGCAGCTTCCACATCTCATCCTACATCCAGTTGCTCTGCTAGAGCATTTGTGCAAGAAATAAAAATAAATAAGAGTACATTGCTCTGTCTAAGGGATCTACAATGCATGGTCCCAAGCAAAGAGCACAGGGCAGGTTTTAAATATTAAGTTTCTTAATGAAAAATTAAAAACAATCAGACAAGCTACTGGGATGGATGGAAGAAAGCTGTCTTCAGTGGGAAGGTTTTTCTTGTTCCTTCTGGCAATCAGACCACCAAAAGAAAATGTTCACCCACATGTGTCACAGTTATTCAGTATCATATCCCAAAATGGGTCCCAGCCATTTCTCCACCTCTGCCACAGACAATTTTTTTCTCAATGCATAATCTTCAACCTGCAAAGGGATCAGAAAAACATAATTAAGACATGGAAACTCCAGCTTTTACTGTTTACAAGATTTTTTGGAACATCTACTCACAAGGTGGTTTTGAATGCAGGAATACGAAAACAATGGACAACGCAAGTTACCTGATCTTTACATATTTTGCCCACAGCAAAGTATTTGGATTTGGGATTAGAAAAGTAGAGGCCAGAAACTGCAGAAGCAGGTATCATTGCTAGTGATTCAGTTAAACAAATTCCTGGAAAAGAGAAAGAGCATTTTCTTATTCTCTGAACTGCATAAACTCAAACCCTTTTTATATTGGGCAGTTTAAAGCAAACTGAAAAACCAAGAAGCTTTCAGATGCACTAAAAACCAAAACCATTTCCCATTTGTCAACTATTTAAAAAACACACAGAGCTTTAAAGATACTGCAGACTTCATTACAGTATTACTGTAGAGTAACTGTACAGTTTGAAGGAAAAAAGACACTTTGGCAAATGTAATGGGTAGCTAGAGGTTTTGAAACAAAGGCAGGCATTTCTGGAATTGTGGAATTAGCAGTGAAATGTTTGCTATGTAAAATATCAGAGGAAAAGAAATGGAATTAATTCCTATTTATTGAGCTATTATCTCAAGGTTTCTGTGGATCAGGAAATATACTGCTGAATCGACTTTTTTTCCTGTTTATATCTGAATGTCTTCTTGCAACCATAAGGGATGCTGTATTTTTTTCTCTATGCAGCAGAACCCTGTTTGCATGCAATCTGCTAATTGGGAACATAACTCCTTCACCAAAAGCACTGGTAGTATTTCACAAATTCTTCCTCGAATGAGGCAAAACAAAAATGGCAATGAAAAAAGGAAGACAGCAATTCCCAGAATCACTTCAGTTTTAGGTTTGGGTTCTGGGTTTTTTGTTTTGTTTGTTTGTTTCAGTGTAGTTCTGCACCACTTGTTTTGTTGGCATTTCAATCTTTCATTTGCATAAAAAAAAACGTTTAAGAATCCTTAGTCAATGGGACAGAGGTACCTGTTGTTTCTTCAATGTTTGCAAGTTTCCACATGGTGAGTTTTTCTGTGTGGTCAGGCTGGCTGGGGTAGCCAGGGGCAGGGCGGATCCCCTCGTATTTAATCCTGCGCAGGTCAGACAGATCCAGCTGCTCAGAACTAGCGTAAGCCCAGTACTCCCTTCGAACCCTTTCGTGGAGCTCCTCAGCAAATGCCTTGGAATAGAATGCAAAGATTTTTTTGTGTAATTTGTGCAGACTGATACAATAGCTATTGAATGAAGACAAACAATGATAAAGACTTTCTCCCTCATTTTCATTTTAATGTTTAAGGGAGCTCTTATCATAGGTGAGAAATTTGACAGCATTAAAATTCACACACAACACACATTTTATGAATATAAGTATTTTAGTTTTTTCTCTTATTGGTAGACAGGATATTTTTCAGTTGTCCTGCTTTAAAAATCCTACATACTCCAAGAGATAAAGATATGGACAAGTACCAGAAAGGATGAAGTTCATTGACCTACGGTAGCGATACATCATTACAGCACTGAAGTCATTAAGTCTTGACTATGGGGGTATCTCATCCAGGTCTAGCTCTGGAAGCCACACCACTGTTGCATCCATGCTGGTATCAGAGGGAAGGAAGTCCTGCTGCTCTTTTTAGCAGAAGACCTTTCATCCAGCTGAACATGGGCTACAGTTTAACTGCTCTTACAGCCTACACTGTATTTGCCAGCAGTGTGTGCCCTCAGGAAAAATTTTCACTTCAGTAAATATCATTACATGGCATCTAATAATTCCTGAAGTTGTTATAGCTTGAAATATACAGCTAGAGCTAGACCCATCTGCATTGCCCAGTGTTGCTCTAACATCATTACCTGGGTGAAAGAATGGGGCCAGGCAGATGGGGATAGCAGGGCAGGAGGGAAGGGACAGCATTTTCTAACTCACTTCAGTCAGAGCTTTAAGAGCATGTCTGTCTAAGCCTAACACATGTTAAGTCAAAAGAGTCGTACCCTGGATACATCTCTATGGTCACCATTAAAAGCAGAAGGCATGTTTGTAATTCAAGAATGTAACTGGAGGGTCGCACCTAGGTCCAAACACATTGTCATGTAGATAAAACAAGATTTAGATAGTTCTTTTTAAATAGTCTTGTTTTAAAACTACTAGACTCTATCAATCATCAAAACCCTCATAAACAGCTCAAAGATGCTTTTGCAGCTGGAAGATATGGACAGCAGAGTCCCTTCCGGCTCAGAATACGAGTCTCAAGACAATTTCAGTAGAATTAGTTCACTTGCAGATTTAATGCAGAGCGTACATTACAGGCAACAGTCTAAGTTTATGCTAAAACTAGAAACAGCAACCTGCCAAGAAAATCTAGTTCACAGAATATTTGCAAGGGAACAAGTGATAAAAGCTCATACCTCTGCCAACCGATCGCCAAGAGCCTTGACCATTATAATGTTGTATTCATCATCCTGTTCCCTAAATTCATTGCATAACTCATCTACACCAAAGCAGGCCACAGCAAACAGGCCTAAGTAGTCACAAATGCCAGAATCCAGTGGTGCTATGAAATCAGAGAGGCAGTAATATGGATCTGTGCAGGCAGAGTCCTTTTCAGCCTGAAGGAACAAAACCAATGTCATAAATCCGAACATTTTAAAAATATATTAAGTATTAGCTCACTATTAACCTAAAGACCAGTACTTTTAAGACCAAAGGGCTTAAGGCATTTCTGACAAGTACTTAACTAGTCTTGCCAATCTTTTACTTGAATTAGAAGAAAAACCTCTCTTATTCTGAGGGTGTTTGGATCATCAAAGAACAAAATGTCAAGAAGAGAGATGCTGTGCTGAACACAAATGTAGAGATGTTTTGGTTCTATTTACAGCTAGTAAGATTTAACAGCTTATTCTGCAAACATATTATTACAGAAAATAAAAAATACCCTTCATTCCAATCACTGGGTTGGAGAAATTCTCCATTTTTAGCACTGATAGATTCCACATTTGTTAGCAAAACCGGTGGTTGATGTTTAGCATCTTTGTTACACAAGCTGCAGAATTTCTCAGCAACACTCATTTTACAATGGCTGTGAGAGTTTATCAACACTCCCAGTCTCCTATGCTACAAACCATGCGCTCAGTAACCCAAGCAAAAACAAGGCCCAGGATGCAGGTTTACACCAGCCACAAGCAAATATAAACAAAACACATCTGTCACTACTGAAAACATGAATCCCAAGCAAAGCTAAAGTGGATTTAGGCAAATAAGAAATATCCCACTCACTGGATCCTTTTCCAAAACAGAAAACAGGGAATAGAAAGAGATGACCAAATGCTGGCCATAGCACCTAACAGCTTTTACAGCTGAGGATCATATCAGCATATTTTTTGCAGGAACATGACTGCTGTTTAAGAAGTGGCACATCTCTCATAAATCCACCCAACTTACAGAAAGATAAAAGTTATTTCATGGCTGAAGATTCCTCTACAAGTTTTCTTATTCTGTGACATTATTTTAACAATGCTTTCCACCCACTCCCAACTGCAGTTTAAAACCCAAATATAACATCACTACCACCACCACCACAAAAAACAAAGAAAATTGGTCAACTCTTTCTCTAGCTTCTATAACCTACTAGCTTGCAGAAGGTACCATAAAAATATAATATACTCTTTCCATGGAGGTGAAATCTATGTTAATTTTAACTGTAATAATTACAAAATATGAAGAAAAACTACTAAATGCATCTCCAACATGTCCTTAATAGTGTCAGTGCCATGAAGACACATGTGTGTACTGAAAGAACATTTTATCTAAGAAACGGGAGACAATTCTTCTCTTCCACTTTGCTTTGGTGTAGCCTCTGCTGAGTTACTGCATACACCAGATTGAAAGAGATGCAGCAAAAATGTGTACAGTCCAGAACAACAGTACCCACAACAGCAGAGTTTCACAGCCTTAACCTTTGAGAAAAGCCAGAATAAATTGGGAATATTCCAATAGTAAAAAACATTATGAGAAGAACATCAAATCAGGTACGTTCCTTGGGAGGACCCTGTAAAAAGGCCAGAAAAATAAACTGTAGTAAACTTGATATACACAGGATATCAAAATGTTTAACTAGGTAGAGTAAGGGCCTGGAACAGCCCTGCCTGAATGCTTGTGAGAACAGTTTACATAAACATCTGCCATGGAATTGTAAAGATCCACCTCCATGCAACAGAATCTGTTACAGGGAACTGGAACAGTTACATTTAAAGTCATGTGTTTGTTAGTATAGTTCTGCAATACTGGTACAGGACTGTCCTCACACAGAATAAGGTACTCCAGAAAAATTTGGCTTCACCATTTTTGGAGGACTCTAAATATGTGAATTATGAGGAAGCCAAGTCAGAAGGTAGGGCAGAGTATCTTGAAAATGTTCAATCTATCAAAATCAATGCAAATCTAGGTGGGCAGGATTCAAGCATTAATACTTAAAATAATTATTTTCTCCACCAAAATTACCAGCCTACTAATGAATTCTGAACTGTCTCTTCATGTGAGGAATTTTACATAAAAATTAAGACTATCAAAACTGCTTATCTCCATTGAGCTTTATTTTCCAGCTATTTTAATTATAATTGTTTTCAATCTTTCATTCAAGCAGAATTTCTTATCTAAGGCAGAATCCAGGGATATTAGACAAATAAGGTTCGATAGGTTCTAATGGTAAAGGGCCTAGAGAACAAGTTTTATGAGGGGCAGCTGAGGGAACTGGGGTTGTTTAGTCTGCAGAAAAGGAGGCTCAGGAGACACCTTATTGCTCTCTACAACTACCTGAAAGGAGGTTGTGGCAAGGCTGGAGTCCATCTGTTCTCCCATGTAGCAAGGAATAGTACAAAAGGAAATGGCCTCAAGTTGCAAGAGGGGAGGTTTAGATTGGATATTAGGAAAAAATTCTTCACAGAAAGGGTTGTCAAGCACTGGAACAGGCTGCCCAGGGAAGTGGTGGAGTCAACATTCCTGGAGGTATTTAAGAGACTTATAGGTGTGGTGCTTAGAGACACGGTTTAGTGGTGACCTGGAACTGCTGGATTAGTGGTTGGACTTGATGGTCTTGAAGGTCTCTTCCAACTAGAACAATTCTATCATTCTATGGTTCTAATCTAGCACACAGGAACCTTGTGATGATCCATACAGCACAGTACTACAGAACATCTTAAATATTAAAATGAAGACAGAAAATTTATATCACATCTGAAGATGTTCAATCTACAAAGCATTTTGTACTACTATAATGCAAAGTCCTACAAAATAATGCAAAATCCTACAGTACAAATACCTGGATCATCACTAACTAGATCTCATTATTACTGAAAGAAATAGCAAGATAGTGGCTGCAGACAGGTGACAACCACCGTTTTTTGCACAAATTTTAATAGGGTACTTCTGTGACATTCCTACAGTTCAGGGGAAAAAAAAAAAATCATCACTTCACTTAACAAACATTCTGGTTTTGTACCTGTTGCCTCAAGCCATAAAATTTTGCTATTGGCTCTGAAGATCCCACAGCCTCTTCTGCAGCATATAAGTGGATATCATCTTGAACACTTCGAGCTGGCCAGAACCCAACTACACCTCTGGCTTGTAATTTCTTTTGATTAATCAATGTCTTCAGTAGATTTTGAGCATCATTATAAACTCTCTTTGCTTCTTCACCTATAAAAGAGAACCCTTTAGAAAAGGCATATTTTCACAACTGGCTAAACATTTTTAAGAATTCCTGAAGATTGGTTCATTTTCCCCATAATTCTTTGATGACTGCAACAATCTGTCAGCTACAGCAAACAGAGAAGTATCACTGTGATTATGTCTACACAGTTGTAAAAACATGTATCTTGAAAAAAATAATGTGTCAGCCAGCACCACTCTAGTAGAGGCAGAGGATGCAGAATAACACGAGCAGCAGAGAACATGTGTGTACCTACTTTACAACAACGCAGCAGACCCAGAACGTTGACTTCAGTGTCACTCTTGCATTTTGAGCAAGGATTTCAAGACTTACTGTACAGTGTCTAAAGGAGTTAGAGCCCTCTTGCCATCTTCACCCACAACAGGGACACAGTACCAAATGCTTCGCTGCCATTTTTTGTCACCAAAATACCTCCCTGTGTTTTGGGGGGTGAATTCTAAATAAGATGATTAAGCATTTTTCCCCATTACTTTTTCAGCCTCATGGGTCAACACCTGTTTCACTAAATGTTGCTTTACACAAATTACTTCAGTGACACAAAGTTTCCACTATTCCTATGTATTCCAAAACATTCAGAATCGTAACACAGTATGGCAAGTCTGCTAGGATTATTTATACAAAGGAAATGCAATTTCAATACTCACCTACAGTTTTATCATTAAAGACCTTAGGAAAACCCCGGTTGGGGTACTTTCCCCTAAGTTGCCAGATATCAAAGAAAGGCTTCCAGTCAATGTATTCTACCAGCTTCTTCAGGTCATAATCTTCAAAGACTTTTGTGCCAATGAATTTCGGTTTAACTGTAGGAATCATAAGTACAGTCTGACATGATGAAAATGATTTAATGTTGTTCTTTTATGTGCAGCGTAACTGATCCTCACCAGCTTCCACTACTGCAAATGACCTCTTTCAAAGTAATTGTCTCAGAATTCTCACTGTCATATTGCAAGACACCATACTGTACAGTTACACCGTGATAAAATAAAGCATAAAAGGCATATAAAGTTGAAATAGAAAATTTAAGGCCTTTTGCTCTGTCTTATGAATCAACACTTATTAGCTGTTGGACTTCTGAATTCATTTCATTGGCTAAAATATTGGCCAAAACAGAAGACCAAAAATACCTACACAATTAATCAATATTGAAGATATTTTATTTCCATATAGCTTTCATATTTACAAATCTCACTTGCTATACATAGACACATTACTGTGAAATAGTTCCTTAAATCAGCGTGTAATTTCTAAGAACTTTTGCAACCATCACACACTTGTTCAGATGCACGTGCACAAGTGAAAAAGAGAGAGAGATCTATGTTATGATGTACCCACAAGCTCTACACTTCTCATCTGTGCTGTTCAATACTTTATAACACAGCCTTTATTAAGATGAGCTATTGAAAACTAGCATCTTGTTGAGTCTTGTAAATGAAATGACAGAAAGCAGTGAAGTGTTAATGTCACCATGGGACGCAGCTTCTTGCAGAATGCTGTTTATACTTCTAGTCTCCAATTTTTTCTAAAAAAATCAAACTGGACTGGTACAGAAACTGATGGGGGAAGGGTAGGAAAAAGCATACAGAGGAATGTGATACAAATGCCATGTCACAACGTGTGTTCCCCCATTATGGTATAGCAAGCTTGTAGCATCATGAGCCAGTTCGACATTATTTTGCAAAGGAAGCATTAGACTTATCTTTGATTACATGGTGTTAGGGAAAAAACATCCTAACACAGGGAGTTACTAATATTTTAGTACTATTATTTTTTAAATATACTGTGAAAAACTTAAAGGATAAACTGGACACTCACATTTATGAAAAAAAAAATCTCTGCTCAGTCAGTCACCAATTTACTCAAGTTGTTACAGTACTATATCCTGAATTTTAATGAAGCATAACCTAATTTAAAATGCATATAAAATACATAAAATAAAGGAAAGGATCAGCAACAATGAACAACAACATTTGAACTGACCTGGTTTAAGGCCTGATAACCAGTCATTATGGAAACCTTTTCTTCTGGCTTGCTGTAGAGACAAGTATCTTCTTTCCTGTATGGACATAATGGTTAATTTCACAAAGTTTTACTCAAAATAGTCTTTGCGACAAATCTGACAACAGACAATTTCAGTTCCCACAACTCCCAGTTCACAAGTGTAAAGTAAGATTACATCACAACCATACTATTATTATTTCCTGTATACTTTTAAAGAAACTGGCCTACAAGATGCCTAGTTCCTCTGAACCGCACCAGCAGTTCCTTCATTACTTCAAAATACACAAAAATATAGGTACAGCAAGAAATTCTCCTCCTGCAAGCAAAAAGCGACATCACCACCAATGACTGCAGCCTGCCTCTGGGCAAATTACTGGCTCTTCTGAAAGGCACAGGAAATTCATCACAACTTCAATAAGGCCCATGAATTCAGTGTTGACCTCTGATTAAAGGAGAGTGCTGCACTCACTGATCTCAGCTTAAAGGACTGGTTCCCTGTGCAAAGACAGTCTTAAACCTGTTCGAGCCAAAGCCCTCAGCAGAAGGCCTCAAGCTTTATCCTGCTTTATCAAAAGACCAGGTAAGAGCCAGACGAGCCTGCTTCCGTGTTTATTTACAAGGGTGGCCCCAGAGGAGTCATATGTTACTTGTTTCCCATTGTTAATTTGCACAGTCCATCTACACATGCCATTGCTTCCTTCTCTTCACTTTCCTAAAATAGCAACCTCAGCTCTCTACTTTGAGACTGCTCAGATCCCTAACCTCAACAATATGAATGCGTTAGGAAAGCATAGTGGTGTAAAACACTCAACAGAGTGTAGCTTAATACCTGCAAAAGCAACTGTGCCATTTTAATTACCCTAGTGTAGCTCCCTGTTCCCAGCTACTGCTCCAGGAGACCACTGGTCTTCTGTAGGCTGGTTAAACTGACACGACTACCAGCTCCCTGGAGATGTCCTAGATACCACTGATTGCCCATTGAGGAAATTCAAGAATTTGCCAAGCATATGCTAGAGTCATGCAGAACTTTCCTTGATAGGTTAGAAAATTTTATTTCATAAGCACTTCAGGAAGTTTTCCATCAATTTTACTGTATGTTTTAAATCAGAACTAATATACCTGAAAGGTCTTCATAAGGAGCTGAAACTGAAAATTATTACTAATGAGGTGAGTACCAATCAAACAGGAAAAGATGCTAAATCAATTACATTTGTACCTTGAGAGACTCATAGTGTTCCTGTCTAATTTCTTCATACTCCTCTAATATTTCTTCGAAGAAATCATCCTTTACACTTTCATCTAAGAGCTGGGAGCACTAAAAAATAGAAAAAGAAAGCATTAAGTACATACTACAGGAAGGACGGAGTATGAACTTCAGACTAAGTCATCTGTCTTTTTAGAATTGTTTCTAATCACGTGACCACACTAAGCCTTAACTCTAATCTTCAGACTAGATTCAAAACATATTTAAGAACATGTTGATTACTGAGAGCACTGCCCTACTACACCGGTAATATTAGCAGATCCAAGTCTGGCTCTGGAAAGACCTGAGAGGACAATACTCCAAGACTTTTAGAGACCAAATAGTCATAGAAAAAAAACACACAGCTTGACCTATTTCTTTCCAGCAGTAGCTAAGACCTTTGTCTGATACAGAGAGCATCCAACCCAGAAAACTCCAGACACGCATTTCGTAGCGCTGATGTTGCCATATCACTAACTTCAGAAATACATTACAATAGAGAGAGTATCAGTGCAAATCTAGTGTCATCACTTTTCACTGTAAAACTTCTCAAACCTACAGGCAAGGACTCAAGATAATTCATGTCACCCTTGCTGGAGAAACAGGCATTTAAGTGAAGGTAAGCAGTGACATAACCGACACAAGTCAGACGAGATAACCATGTGGCAGCAAAAAATAACTAAAGCAATAGCCGTTTAGAAACTGGTCTCTGTTGTGCCCCCTCAATTTTCTGCTATAATGTTAAGCCTTCGAGGAAAGAATGAGAGGCACAACTGAAAAACAGGGCATATATTTTTGCATTGATGAGAAACTGGAATTTAGAACTTACAACCACAACACTCTTGGATGCATCCAGGACATGAATTACAGGTGCGCTATATCGTGGGGCAATTTTAACAGCTGTATGTGTTCTTCAATGAAAAAGAAAAAGAGTGAGCATTTCAAAACTGAAACAACAACCAAAAAAAAAAACACAGACAAAAACCCCAGTGAAATAAATCCCGACTTAATGCATAGACCAGAACTTCAAAAGAAGAAAGCAATTCATCCGTTATGCATGGATGATTAAACACAGATTTTAATAATAGGTACATAAACACTTTTCTTCAAAGAGTATCAGAATGCTTCATAAATAATATGACAACTCACATTCCCTCACTGTCTTACCAGCTGACCAAAAATCCAAAAATCATTACAGACTGAAACTCATTAGTTTGTCACAGAAAATTTCAGTTAGAACGTTCCAAATTAAGCCTACCAAGAACTAATTTTTTTTTTTTTTAATCTTTTTTTGCTCATCTCACATTCTTCCCTCCCACATGCTGGTTTCTGTGTCTGTAGATTAGCATTAACATATTTCAGTGATGATTATTCCATTTCTATCATGCCCTACTTCAAAACTGGAGGCATAAGCTCCCAACTCACCTGAAGGGGGAATTCTGCCAGTGGTCAATAAATATTACAAACTTGCACCTGCTTAGTCAGTCCAGCCAGTTACAGAAAAGCCTTCCAACTCATACAGTTATTTCACATTTACTCATATTCAAGTCCCCACTGACATACTTCCACCTATAACGAAGAATCACTTCTATACTATAGTATTTTGTTGATCAAATTAACGTTTGGAGTCCTAAACTATCACATGAAATGCAGCTGACTACCCCCATTGCTCAGAGTCCTGGCAAGCTGTGCAAGAAAGTGCAGGAACAAAGACTTTGCAGGTCAAAGCTCAGTTTCCTTTCTTGAATGCTAAGATCAAACAACATTTTTTAAGTTAATATAAATCAGAGCCCAGGAAGTGATCCTTCACAACAAAGATAAGATTTTTTTTTTTTTTCATTCAGATTCTGTCAAGTATTTGAAGCACTTGGACATGGACATTACTGATGACTGTGCAACACAGTTGCGTAACCAACTGTCCAAGATCATCTTAATTTGCTTTAAACTGATGCACTTTTGATCTTGGCAGCTCTATTTTATAGAAAAAAGATATTGTATATTTTGGTTTGATAGGAACAAACAAAGGATAAAATAGCATGGTGCTACAATGGCACTGTATCAACTAGTAAATATTAACTTTATATTTTTTTTAATATCAACATTCCCACAACAAAACGGTCACGGATATTTCTCAGCATCTGAGTTTTCCAAAGCAGCATAGTAAGAATGCTAACATCATCATTATTGTAAGTTACAAGGAAACTACTGTGGAGATTCTGTATACAAAATTCAGCCTCTTTC